TAATTACCTCCTAAAGGCCCACTTACAAATTCCATCTTTTAGGGGTTAAGACTTCAACTTTGGGGGAGGGGTACAATTAAGTCCATGATGTTGTTGTTTAGTCACTAAGTCGTGTCCAACTCTTTTGTGACCCCATGGACTGTAGACTGTCAGGCTCCTCTATCCATGGGATTTCCCAGGCAAGAGTACTGGAGTGGGTTGCTATTTCCTTCTCCAGGGCATCTTCCCAACCCAGGGAATGAACCCACGTCTCCTGCATTGGCAGGTGGGTTCCTTATTGTCAAGCCACCAAGGAAATTCCACAACAGCAAACAACATACAGTTAAGTCCGTGACATAGACCAAGTTCTTTTTCATCCTTCAAATCTTGGTTCTGATGTCAATTCCTTTTCCCTCTCTGCAAATACATCTTATCATAGCACCCATTAAATTGCACCATCACAGACCCTTTATTTGTCCTTCTTTCTCTTTAGATTGTGAACCACTTGATGAGTAAGGTCTGGTCCTTTGCTTTTTTCCCAGGGACCGTAATATGTAGTAAGTGTTCAGTAAATGATTTAGTGAGAGTACAAGACAAGCAATTACTTTTAAAATAAATGCACAATAGATGAGATTATCGTCCATTCCTTAGATAGGTATTATGAATGTCAGTTTAACTCCAGACACCCTGAGAGCAGCCTTCATTAGAACAGACTTGTTAACCAACCTTTTAACAAGGGCAGGAGAGGAAACTAACTCTCCTCTGTTTAATAGGACTTTAACTTTTCAGCCCATGAAGTCCTTGTTTAATCACTTGTTCTTTAAAACTCACCAATCTAAGTCAAAGTTTATTTCTGAACTTGGGAAGGCAGATCCTGGGAGCAAGAGCCTCAAAAAGAGTAACTATATATCCAGCAGAATGGGAGAAACTTTTATTCACAAATCTACAGCTCACAACTTTTTGTTCTTTTCATTCTCTCTCTGGCAATCTTAGCTCTTCAGGCATATAACATTTAATTATGCAGCATAACGACACAAATGAACTTATCTACAAAGCAGAAACAGACTCACAGACACAGAGAACAGATTTGTGGTTGCCGGGGAGGAAGTGGGGAGTGGGGGAGGAAAGGACTGGGAGCCTGGGATTAACAGATGCAGACTATCATATATAGAATGGGTAAACAAGAACGTCCTACAGTATAACACAGGGAACTATATTCACTATTCTGTGATAAACCATATGAAAAGAATGCGAAAAGAAAAGAGTATGAAAAATGATATATATAACTGAGTCACTTTGTTATAAAGCAGAAACTAACACAACATTGTAAATCAACTATATTTCAATAAAAATTTTTTAAAACATTGTGCAGCATACATGGAGCTTCTTTTTTCCCCAACATCATTCTTGTCATTTAAGTGTCTCTGCCCTACCGGATGGGTCCAAGCAGTAATTCAAGTCCAGTGTTTTAAGCTCCCTTTTTATCTGTGATAATTCATTGATTTTTAGAGTGCCTTTCCTCTCTTGTGTCTCTGTAAGTTAGAATCTGAGTAAAAAGGGAGAGCATACTTAGATGATCTTAAAGAGGAGAGAAACAGGGTCTTTGAATTCAGATCAAATCTTTGGGACCCTTACTGGTCATTGCTCTAGAGAGGCTGGTCAGGGTTATCCCCACAGACGTGCAGAGCCCTAAAACACACATTGTCTCACACCATCTGTTTTGTATTTTTAATGCACTTTTAATCTTTGTGTATTAAACAGTTTTTGATTTACAGAATCATTGCAAAGTTAGTACAGAAAGTTCTCATAGGCTGTGCATCGTTTCCTCTGTTTTTGACATCTGACATTAGTATGGCATATTTGTCACAATTAAGAAATCAATATTGATACATTATTATTAACTAAAGTCTGTACTTTATTCAGATTTCCTCAATTTCCCCTAACATCCTCTTACTATTCCAAGATCCCAACCAGGACAGCATGTTGCATTTATCTATCCTGTTTCCTTAGGCATCTCTAGGTTGTGACATTTTCTCAGACTTTCCTTGTTTTGATGACCTTGACAGTTTGGAGAAGTGTTGGTTAGGTATTTTGAAGGCTGTCCCTTAGTGGAAATTTGTCCAATTTTTTTTTTTTTTCATGATTCAGTTCAATTCAGTCCAGTCGCTCAGTTGTGTCTGACTTGTTGCAACCCCATGAATCACAGCACGCCAGGCCTCCCTGACCATCACCAACTCCCAGAGTCCACCCAAACCCATGTCCATCCAGTCAGTGATGCCATCCAGCCATCTCATCCTCTGATAAATGCCCACCAAACCAAACAAAAGAGGTGGAGATACGGAGTTCACCTGAAAAAGAATTCAGAAAAATGATAGTAAAAATGATCCAATATCTTGAAAACAAAATGGAGTTACAAATAAATAATCTGGAGACAAGGATTGAGAAGATGCAAGAAATGTTTAACAAGGACCTGGAAGAAATAAAAAAGAGCCAATCAATAATGAATAATGCAATAACTGGGATCAAAAACACTCTTGAGGGAACCAACAGTAGAATAACGGAGGCAGAAGATATGATAAGTGAGGTGGAAGATAGAATGGTGGAAATAAATGAAGCAGAGAGGAAAAAAGAAAAAAAAATTAAAAGAAATGAGGACAGCCTCAGAGACCTCTGGGACAATGTCAAACGCCCCAACATTCAAATCATAGGAGTCCCAGAAGAAGACAAAAAGAAAGGCCATGAGAAAATACTTGAGGAGCTAATAGTTGAAAACTTCCCTAAAACGGGGAAGGAAATAGCCACCCAAGTCCAAGAAACCCAGAGAGTCCCAAACAGGATAAACCCAAGGCAAAACACCCCAAGACACACATTAATCCAATTAATGAAGATCAAACACAAACAACAAATATTAAAAGCAGCAAAGGAAAAATAACACACAAGGGGATTCCCATAAGGATAATAGCTGATCTTTCAATAGAAACCCTCCAGGCCAGAAGGGAATGGCAGGACATACTTAAAGTGATGAAAGAGAAAAACATACAACCCAGATTACTGTACCCAGCAAGGATCTCATTCAAATATGAAGGAGAAATCAAAAGCTTTACAGACAAGCAAAA